AGAGAGAGAGAGATATAAGCGAGAAAGAGAAAGAGAGAGACGACGACGCGGGGAAGACGATAGGCGCGCGATAACCGCGTCGCGACTCGTCCACATCGAGAGCGCATGCACATGCACGCGATCCGCGACGCACCCCCGGCTCGGACGGTGGCCGAGACAAATAACGATGGATCGTCGTTCGGTGCGTACAGCGGCGACACCCACGTACACACGCACATATGCCCAGGCATACAGAGATGTACGAGCAACGCAACGTTTAGAGAAATCTACGACACGCGGCATGCATGCGCCAGACGTATGTGCATACACACGCACACATATTTCGAGGACGCAGGTGCCCCGCGGATGAAAACTCAACCGGAATAGCCCGTCGAGACGCGTTTTCGGAGATATACGCGGCCGTCGCGGGCATTTTGCGCGAGGGCAACATGTTTCATGACTGGGGGGCGGGGAGGGGGGGGGGGACTGGAATAACTTCGATGAGATATACCTCGGCGCGGCCTATTTTTTAATTTCTCCCCCGCATACGTCGAAACCGATAGAGGCCTGAGGCACCGAGAGCCGTAATTAAACAGGCCTGAATATTCATGCAAGGAGGCAACTGCGAGTGCCCCGTCGTATCGAAGGATGATTAAATCTTTCCAGGTCGTTATCAAAAAAAGAGAACTAAAAATTTATATATGCAATTATCACGACGTGCTATTGTGCATTTTCAGGGAAATTCGGCCGAATAAAATCCCTTCGTTTGAACCCAACGCAATAAGTATCGATTGGCTGTACCTCGCCATCGATGCTCCCGTGACTTTGCTCCCGCGGAATTTTCCGTGAAAAAGCGAGGCGCATCCCACACCGAACATAAATAATCTATTAGATATCTAATGGACATCCACGACAGATTTTTAGGACATCGATGAATACCAAAAAAATATCCGTTGGATGTGCTTTAGATATCCAAATGTCCGCCATACGAGATCTAATAGATATTCATAGGATATTTATGCCAATATCCATTAGACACCCATATCAGTGTCTAGTGGATATTTATATACATGTTATTGCACATGGTTGAATGCGTTTCGATGTCAGCTTTCTCGTAGTGAGCAAGAAAATAGGTAGTCCCATTTAAAAAAACATTGCTACCATCGAAATCTTCACTCCAAGAACTCATTATCCCCCTTCAAATGTAATAACTTTTCCATATGACATTTTTATGTTTAATCAATAATAACCATTCAGGGTGGCAGAGTTAAATAGACCACCCTGTAGATGTCCCATAGATATCCATTACATGTATATTAATATTCATCCGTTAAAATATCTTTCGTATATAATTATTTACGAAGAGCTGTACGCAGTTTTGTAAAATTATGTATGCAATTTGTTCGTACATAACTATATATGATATGTGTTTCAAATTCTGTTCGCTTTGTCAGCAGAGAACAATGTTGGATCGCTTCGTCGGCTCGCCTTTTATATTATTGCAGGATGATTTTTACTTTAGGCCGGTTTTTACTTCAAATGTGCATATCTCAGTGAAACATTATCGTATCGAAACGAGTAAGAAAGTATTTTGAAGGAGAGACTCTGTACTATCGCATACTTTTTATCCCATCAACACTTGCCTCTCGCCATGGATCGTCGTAAACTCGGACGAAAATTTTTCAATTTCGCATGCTCTTGTTTTGTCATCCGCCATTTTGAAAAAAATTATCTCGCAAAACTCCGATGTATCGAATCTTAAAGTAGAAATTTCAAGCTTCAATTTCTTTTTGAAAAACCTTTCCATCACTATTACTCGCGTAGTTATCGCCATTCGAAATTTGGTAATTTTTTGACAAATTTTAGGTGTACCGTTTTTTTTTGACTGAGCGTATTAGATATCCATAGTAGCTATGGACATCACGTGGATCTGTCGAGATCCATTGGACCATTTATTAGATATTTTGTTCCGTGTGGGATGGAAAACGACAAACCTCTCGTATGAATACTTACAATTAGACGAGGTAACGAGGTTCTTTAACAGGAAAATTAACTGCGGTTTCATTATTGAATTCTCGAACGTAGCTCTAGCTGTAGCGCCGCTAGAGAAAGGAAATTTAGCTCATTATGGCTAACCACCGCTTCCAATGTTCCGCGGCCGCGCTATTGTCATTTATTATTTGCGTTACCCTTATGCATTATCACTGCCGTTGCGCCAGGCACTCGTGTATTTTCATGTAAATACATTATCAACAGCGCTCTGCCCGTGTCTTCAAAGGCGTCTCTTCGAGCTCGCGGTCACGGTCCGCGGCATCGCAATTTTATTGAAACAGGTCAGCCCCGCGTTTCCCTTTCAGTGCGGGCCGCACTTTTCAAAGCGGCGTCCTCGAAATGAGCTTTGTTCTCCCAAATCGACCTTCGATGCAACCGCAACCTGACAGTAGTCTCCTCCTTTCCTTTTTCCCCCTTTTTAATAACGTACGCAATCTAACGCGACGAACTATCCGGATCAATCGTCTCGCGTGTACGTCGGATATTCGGGCTTCGGTTGACCAACGCCCGCCGGAGGATCAGCAGTTACTCATTCATTCATTCCCGACAGCTACATCAATACACCATCATCGTGCGATCATGCGACTGCGATACGATCACAGGCAGGTTCTACGGATATCACCTACGCGCTACACAAATCGTCCGCGCATTCATCCAACGGGTGGACACGCGCGCACGCACACACGCACACGCATCGCACTACGCACCACAGAGAGAGAATAGGATAGACTGCAGATGTTACAAAATAGTATCATGCAGCGCACGCACGCACGCGCCCCGCGTGTAGGGGCGCGCGTTGCGATTTTCGCATCGGCATGCGGGACGGATGCGGCGGGGTCGTGCATTTTTTACTCGCGCCTTATGTGCGCCCAGCGTGGCGCGGCCCCGTTGCGCTTTTTCCCCCCCTCTTCCTTTTTTTCCTCTCACGCGCGTTTCCGCCCGGGATTTTTTCGCGGCTACGCGACCACGTAATCCGCGCTTCTCGCGTAAAATTCCCTCTCACGGAGGCGTTCGTGAATTTCGGACGTTTTTTTTCTTTTCTACGTGGTTTTTTTTCCCCTCCCCTTTCCTCTTAGTATTGACATCTCGCCTGCGTGTCGCGTCGAATGCAAAGCTCTATCATTATGAAGATTTATTCGAAAAGTGTCGTTGGCAATAACAATTCCGAGCATTCTATCGAGTGGAACTCGTAAGTTTTGTGATCAGCGGCAGCCTGCCTCGTCAGAATCTTGTTATTCTACTCTCGTTACGAATCGCCACAATTTGTTATTATTATAATTATCTTACGCGCCCGTTGCGTTGCGATAAAAATTGCCAATTCGATTGCCGCAGAGATTTTACCGCAGACATCGCGCGCCAAATTCATCTACGAAAGGTTGTCTTTACCGCATTTACGTCTGAATTTCTCCGATCGCGAAATTCAGGCTCCCCCCGGAAATTCCTTCGCCGACGTTGCCGAATATCTGGAAATTCTTCGACTGCGAATTTGACTCTGCAAATTTTCTACATTGCGAAACTGTAATTCTAAAAATCTTCCGCCTTCGGAATTTGATAAAGCGATGCGCGTCTCGGGCGATATCCCCTTTGAAACCCAAACGGCGCTCGTGGAAGCCCCGCCGTTGTGCCGAGTCAAAGCACCTAGCGCGGCAGTGGATGTACGGAGCGCGTCGGAGGAGGGACCGAGTCCCATCTCCTGCTCCGAAAGAGTATATGGGATATCGCGCCGCGCTCCGCCACCGCGGCCGCGTCTTCGATCTCCCGGGGTGTACGAATTTAACAGCGCCGAGCAGCCGCGGCTGAGCAGCCGAGAGGCTGTATCTGCCTCTCGCGAGAGGATTTGCATTGGAACAGCCGGAGACGGCGGCGGCTTCCCTTCGCGGATTTTTGCGCGGTCTTTCCTCTCGGGACGATCGATCGCCGGGCCGGTGTATACGAGGCGCGCGGTAACTTGTACACGACCCCCGATAGAGAGAGTAGAGTAGAGAGAAAGAGAGAGGAAGACGGGGGGGGGGGGGCGAAAGAATGGAGGTATCGAACCGTAAAGTAAAAGGGTATGTCGTAAGAGTCTGGCGAACCTCGCGAATGTTCGATGTGGCGCGAGCACAGCGGGGATGATTCGATCGCCGTGCGATCTTCCGAGAGTTACAACCCGCTCCCGGGAACTTCCTTCCGCCGTGTTCGCGCCTCGTTCGCTCCCTCGGTCGAACGGTGCTCGGCACGAAGGCCGCGCCGGTCGCGGCTGAACTCCGCCGCGCGATCAAGGGACGGACGCGCGCTCGGTATCGGTTATCCGACCGATAAATAAACCCCGCCGACAGGCCCCGGTCGACGCGACAGCGGGCGAGAACTAAGTTTGCAATCTCGGAGAAAGGGGGGGAATTAATCGCCCCCGGGATTCCGCCGGGGTGGGCAAACTTTTGCAACTTCTTTGCCGCGCGACAGCTCGTTTCAGCGGCGCGTCTTCTACTTTCACCGGCGAATTTAGAGTGATCCCGCGGCGTTTAAGTGTCCTCGAGAAGGTATGAATAAACAGAGGGTAAGTTTCGCGAGTATTCAAATGTCCGTTCGTCCGCGGCCCTTCCTCTCCCGTTTCTTGCGAACCCGAATGTCGAGGAAATTTCGAGGCCCGTGGCCACGATGCTGGAACTTGGTCCGAGCTCCTGGTTCCGAGAAACGTGTAGCCGATCTCGACTCGCGGCCAGAGTGACGTGCCTTGAAGAGTGCAAAGTGACGTTTGCGAAAATATGAGGTAACCACGAGGCGCCCGGTGTACGCGCGATGCTATTTGAACTTTGTAAAAATTCCGAAAAATAAAATTCGTCTTCCGCCAACCGAGATGCGAGTCCCGTTGCAAAGTTCGAGTCGAGCACCATTCGCCGAGGGGGTCGACGAAAATAGGGGGAAGTAGGGGAACTCCCGAAAAGCAGGCGCACTTACTTTCAGTGGTATGATGTTCTGCGCTGAGATATTAACCCCTTTCTCCTGAAGTTCCTAAAAGTAGGTCAATACTACGGGTAAAAAACCAAATCGCTACAAGACAAAAACGGGGGGGGGGGGGGGTAGGGCGAGGGCGAGTTTCGGTACCGGGCGGGATGCGTGTCGGGGGATTCACATCTTTCTTTCTTTTTTTTTCATCGGGGTTCGGGTGGGGAGGGGGTGGTACGGGTTCTCGTATCTGCTCTTCCGAATCCAAGGCATGCCCAGAGAGATATACCTAAATACTGTAACTTAAAGTAAACACCATTACCAACCAAAAACCAAAGTAAACAAAAAAAAGTGCGTCGCCGATGGTCGCCCGTTCGATCACGATCGATAACGCGAGTATCGCGTAGCGAGAATCGATGCGCGCGTCTCGGGGGCAAATTCCTTCCGAGATCGAGATGTTAAACCGGGGTCGACGACCGGCGGGGGGAGGCCGAGGCCCCCCCCGATGCTCGCATCGACGACGCACTTGGTTTCGTGTAAACCAACGAGAGAACGCTACACCGAAAGCACCGCACGAGGCAACGACTAGCTAAAGAACGACTGGACGACGAAGATCCGGCCTGTCGCGCATCCGGCATGTATGCGACGACGCGCGGACACAAAAAGAAAACTGGCATACAGGTGGCGGGATGACGGGGATGAGCGGCCGGGGAGGTGGACGCTGAGGGAACGGGGGATGAAAAGAAGAAGAGAAGAAGCGACGACGACTACGACAGTGTTTTGGACAATGACGAGATGACGGGGTGAGAGACAGCGGGGAGGCGATTGAGGGGGAGACTTGGAGGACGTCCGTCCGGATCGCGACACCGAGAAGCGTGTCGCGCCTTCCGAGGAGGAGGAGGGCCGGTTTACCTTGAGGGCGACGATTTCCGCGTAGCCGAGCGTCCCGCCGCGGAGCGTCGTCACCGACCTCTTTAACCCCAATCCCTGTGCATTGACCCGTAGGCGAGAAAAAAGGCAAGGTTTATTTATTTGCTCTCGTGCTGCGACGCGTCGCGTTTGCCGTTGGCTGCTGCGGCGATCGACGCGTCGACGCGCCGGCGAGCGAGCGCGAAACGGATTTCCCGTGAAATTCGTTTTTTCCACGACGTGTCGGGAAAGAGGCGCGACTGCCAGAGATCGATTCTTTTTTTCCCCTCCCTCTCGCGCCCGTCGAGCTCACCGGCTAAGGCAATCACCGCCGGTCCGGAGTCCGCCGTCCGCATTTTGACGGATGACGTGCGACGGAACAATCGTTTCTCGCCGTTCGAACGCGTGGAACGTCACGGACGAGCTTCGTGACAACTGGCGCGACTCTTTCCCGAGCGATCATCTTCGTCCCGCCATCGTTTAATCGACAAACGTTTACATTGTGCGATTATATCGCCGCGCGATAAATATTCTGTCCTTCTTTCGCACGGCGAAATAAAACATTACCTACACTGATAAAAAAATATTACTTTACTCAAGAAAATTATTCATTAGGTGGCTCCTAATAGCTTCTTATCTTAAATTTAAAAAATAATAAACGAATTAAAACGTGCATTGCTTTAATTTAAGTATCGATTAAATATCAAAGAATAGATAATTTTCAATTAAAAAAATTTCATCTTAATTCCATAAAATGTTTACTAAGGTGTAATTTTCACCGCGAAGAAAATTGGATTTCTTATTTAACAAAAACAATTACTTCATTGGATAAATAGTATTCGACATCTCATGAAATCTTTATTTGAATGTAGAAAATGTACTGATTTAAATTAATTTACTTAATATAATACATTTACTCGAAATGTGATGTTTTTATTCAAATAGAGTAAACATTTACTTGAGTGACAAAAAATAATTTTAAGTAAATCTGTTTACTTAGTTAAAAAAAATTCTTTTGTCAGTGTACCACCAGCTCTATTTACAGACCTTCCGAAGGCATCTGATTGTGCACTCGAAAATATAATAAAATTGAGACTCGCGTCTGCCGCGTGAATTGATGGAAAGTCACAAAATTTTTGTCCCGGGAGAACAATGAATAGTCATCGAACAGTGATCTTTTGGTCGTGAATCGTCTCCGCGCGCGATATGCTGCTCGTCGTCGCGCGGCGAACGCGCCGATCGATAACACCGGGCGCGCTTGTTGCACGCTGCACCGAGAGAACGCGGAGCGTTCGGTGATTTCGCCCTGGACACGAGCGGCGTATGCATATGCATGCGCACGGACCAACGCGTCGCGCACGCATCGCCGTGCTCGCAATAAAATCGACGGACGCCGCTCGGCTTCCAGGGCGAAGCTAGATCCTCGAGAGCCGACGACAGGGGCGAGTGCCCTCCCTCGTCGCGTGACAACTCCGTGAAAAGAAATCGCGCGCGATCGGGCGACGTGCGCGAGTGCGCTCGAGCGGAACGGAGGAGCGGCCCCTCGTCCTCGACCTCAAAAACGCGACGGGTTAAATAAAACACTCCCGGGCCCTTTACGCGGCGCCGGCCGCCGGCGCGAAATGTTATTTCGGCTGCTTTGACGATTTTGCAAATCTCAGCTTTCGCGCGGCAGCCGAGATTTAATTATCACGGATAAACGCGGGTGGCGAATTAGGCCATCCCGGGAGCCTCCGGTTATATGATTTCCCAGAGGATTCGTATAAAAGAGTTCCACTCCGGATCGTTCCAAAGGGAGCTTCCCCGCGCGTGACACCGATTCTTTTTTTCGCCCCGACGCCCCCGATATATTTTTTCAAATTTCCTCGTACCGGAATGACGAAATCCGCGCCATTCGTTCGATTAATCGTCGGTCTTTTGACGCTTCACGGCGCCGCGATCGAGAAGACGTTAATAACGTTCCCGCTCGAGTGCACTTTCACCGCGTGAAATGAGATTTGCAGCTTTACGCGCGATGAAAATATCGTTTCATCCCTTCCGCCCGCGCACCCGCTCCGGCCGTCCCTTCAGGATTTATCCCGTGTTCTTCTCTCGCCGCTTTCTCCCGCCGGCCGCGCCGGCGATACACACGTCCCGCGGTACGCGCGGGGCTCTGCGAGATTGCTCTCTGAAGGACGGCGACGGAGGCTGCCGAGGCGAGAAATGAGAGAAGCGCGGCACGCGTTTTCGCGCCCGTTACGAGTGCGCCGGCGGAATATTGCTCCATTCCGCGCCCGGATAGCGTGGCTTAGATACCTTCACTGCGGACAAGACGTCGAATCCGGGGCTGCCCAGCTCGCCCTTCTGTCCTTTGTCACCGGGTCGGCCCTGCGAACAAAAGAGACGCTGTGTATTACGCAGAGTAATAGCGATCGACAGAACGAGCGGGACTTTCTCGGAGTCCTCTCTGTTGTAGCGTAGTAGCTGGCGCGGTAGTCAAATATCTGTCGGTTCTCGTCGCGCATATTACCTTCTCTCTAAAAATCAATCGGCGATAGTCGCCTGATTGACCTTTAGAGAGTTTATAATTTGTAAACCAGCCGGCTCCGAGAGAAACTTGGAATTTTTGCGCGCGATTCCGAGCGATATTTTAAGAGGACTTTACCGTCTGCTCTTCGTTTGTTAAAATGTTAGGACGATGCGCCGGGATTTCGCTTTCACGTCAACTTTGCGCGTTCAATCACTATGAAGGCACTTGCAGCTTTAATTAAGAATTCTAGCGCTCCCGTTCCGTTCCAAAGATATCCGATGGCGCGGAGCACAAAATGTCCGTACGGAGAGTCTGCAGATTCTGCTATTAAATTAAATGGGATTTCCCTTCAAATAATTTGCCTTTCTAAGGTCCGCGAACAAGTCAGACGCGCGTGCGAGTTTTCGCACTTTAATCTCACCGCCAATTACTCCTCGTAATAACACGCATGATTAGTTTTCCACTACTTTCACAAACGTAATTTTACTCATATCAATGCAAGGACGATAGAGATATCAATGCCCGCTATATAATTCATGCCAATAGGTCAAGAAGCAACACATCTATTACACCTGTCATTGTTCGTTTCTCTTCGTAAGAAGAGTGGAAAAGAATTAGAGTAGTAACAAACAGGGGTGTATTTTCGGGGAGGTAGGGCACTGAGACGCGCCACTTGTTAATTTTCGGCGAGAAAAACAACGGGCTAAGACCAGGATTCGAACCTGGGACCCTCCGCATACCGGGCGAGCGCTCCTCCGACTGAGCTATCCAGGCCCACGCTCGAAACCCCTCTCGCTTACCCACTTTATTTTACCGAATAAAGTAGCGAAATGGCGATACTAACGGCGCGACTCCAGAGTGATGCGTGGTACCTTCCTCAATGGTCTGGTGGACCATCGTGTGGCTGCGGAGTGGCCACATCTCCGAAAACCCCTCTAGCAAATTAACAAATTCCCCACCGTGTCCGAACGACAGGTTGTCCTCGGAGTGAGCGAAACGAGCACGGCCTCCAAAGAAAAAAGTGACTGGACAAATTACAAGACGACTAAAAGGGAAGACGATAGGTAAATTAAGATTAAATCGCACATTTCGTTATACCGCACGTAAAATGCACTAGGATCAGATTGAAGATCTACAGTTGTACTGGAGGAAGGAGGGCAGTCAAAATTCGAACGAAAGCCCGAAATGTAAAAAGTTGAGCCCCGTTTCTGCTCCGCTGCACGTGGTTCATTCGCATCCACTTCCGCGTACTGTATCAATGCGCGCGAACCGTATTTATCCTTCGCGGCGTATCTCGATGAAGAGAACGTAGACCCGCATAAAATTTCGGACTTGGCAAAACTTGCCGTGGAGACACACACACACACGCGAGAGGGACGGATTACGCGATTCAGCGAAGGGTTAAAATCGCGATTTAACAGTTCGTCCGGGGCGGGTCGTGGCGCAGATAGCGCGCGGTTGTAAATTTCCAAGAAGATAAACCTGTGTGTTTGCGCGCCGGATCTTGCCCCCGGAGTAGCGAGTAGAGAGTAAACTCGGCGATCCCGAGGCAAATTGCGGAGTCGCTGTGCTACCCGCTGTAACCCGCGCGCCACGACTATTTGCACGAAATCCGATATAAACGCCGGATTCGTTATTCGAATCTCGGAATACCCTTAGTACGGGCACCGCGCGGGTATTGGTCGCCGGCGACTGTGTACACACTCGTTTGCCACACTCGTTTAAAAAGAAAACGCCGGCCGGGCAAAGAGAGGAGCGCGAGGAAGGAGCCGATCGTGCGGGTCCTTTCTTCCCGGCCATCGACAGAACAAACAACTCGCGATATTTGCAATGCACTTATTGCTCTCTCCCTCCCTTCTCTCTCTTTCTATCTCTCTCTTTCTCTTTCTCTTACTCCTCCGCCTCCCTTCCTCTCTCTCTCTTTTTCAATCGCGCGCGTACTCGGTCTTTTCTCCTCGGACACATTCCCTCGCTATCTGTTTGCTCTGTCGTTTGTACCTTACCGCCACCGGGATCCAGTCACGTCAGCGTCCTGCCACGCAACACGTCCTCATGTATATTCTCCCCAATCTTATCGCGTACCTGAGCGTACGGAGTATTTCCGGCAATCATCGTCCGTCAATTCTTCGAAGCGGATGGCTCTTTAATGAACGTTCTATCGGACACAAACTCTTTTTATTTCCTAGCGCGCGTTACCCCTCGGTGGTCTGCGTGTCTCAAATTATGACGATATTCAATTAAAGTCCGCTCGAGATCAAGTAAGAAGTTATACCTTCTTATCTAGTTGCCCGCATCGCGAAAACACTTATTAGCGTGTCGTCAGCCCTCTTAATTAATCACGTAGCGTCTGTAATTAAGGGAAATGGCAGTAATTCCGCGACATCCTGCGCGACATCAAACGTATACGCGGCACACTGCCGGGCACGCGTGTGTACACGGCCAGGACAGAGGCTTGTGTTCTCCACGGTAGGGCAAACTAGGTGGCCACAAAGGGCCACCGACGCGCATACAACGGCCTGTCATGCGAAAAGACTCTTTGCGTGTCACGAAGACCTTGCATAACCGAGAGTCACGCGTATGTACGAGGATGCATGTACGGGGATTATAATACAAGGACCCGGTCGTGTAACCAGCACGAGCCTCGTGCGGAGCGCGTCTCGTGCGCCGGGACGGGTCGGCCAAGTCAACACGCAGCCCGCGGAACTTCTCTATCCGAATTTACGTACTCCGTTAGATGACGATTCTCATCTTACGTCTCGCGAACGCGAATACACGGATCCGATCTCCGTCTCGAGACGACAATTTTCAAAGCAACGACGTCTCGCGTCCACAGTTTGTACGTGCGACCGTTAGACAGATGTATAACGAGACGGCGAGAGATAAGGAACGCGGTATGATCGATCTGTGCTCGCGTCATTCCGATTTTCGCGTCTACTCTCCCGAGGAGACACGCCGCCATTATCTATGTATGGGCTGTTGTACACTTACGGTAGACGATAAGCGAAACAACGGCGACAGTGACGGCCTTCCCCGTATCGCGACTTTATACGCCTCAGGCGAGGAGGAAACCGCTGACCAAAATCTTGTACATACACCAATACCCACTAATGCCCGGTGGGCATTACTTTATCTTGTTATCTTATTTTATCTTATTTATCTTATTTTAACTTTATAACGCCCCAGCAAGGCCTAATGCCTAAAAAAGGCTAGTAATGCCAAGTAATGCCCAGTAATGCCGCAAAACTGTACACCACAATGCCCTCAGCGGTTTACCCCTCGGTCTCAGGCCTGGTTTTTCATTTTCTGGTTAACTGTTGACCAGAGGTTAATAAACTCTCCATCTTTTTCTATATTATTAGAGGAGGATCCGCTATTAATGGGAGATAGGCTCCTAATACGAGATAGCGGAGTTTCTGCCAAATTAATAAATTCCACCATGAATTTATTGCCCTTGGAGTGAAATATGTTTAGTGGAGAATTCATTGTTAGGCCGTGTAATCGTTGCGAAAGAAGATTTGCGATCGAATGTGGGTGGTTGAAAACCTGCTATCTCGCATTAGAAACCCATCTCTTATGCAGACTCGCGCATGTAGTTGAATAAATCCAATCGTGTGCAAAGGACTCGCAAGTTTCCATCAACGTTCAAGTTAAAAGATTTGCCATTGAATTTGGACGTTGAAAACCTACGATCTCATAACAGAGGACTTTCCTCTAC